CACAGAAGCTAAGCTGGCTTTGAACACACCATTTATTTCCATAAAAAAACAGCCAGAATCACAAATACAAGTTAAAATAGCCCCCACCTCACAGGTGCCTCCAATTGTCTGTTTAGTCCACAGTGGATTAAAGGAACATTAACACACATAATATAAATATGAGGATAAAACCATGCAATATAAATATGAATAAACATACGTGCGATATAAATATCAATAAAATCAACACTATGTACCAATTGATCGATAAAACATAAACACACAAATTTCCACTGTGTGACAAATAAACGTTTTAAGAAATCAGCCTTCAAAGAGGCGGCTGTAAGACTTCAAATGCTTTTATTGTAAGATAAAATCTCCTGGAAGAGCGTAACCCTAACCCTGCGTACGGATATCATCACGAAGCTGCTGAGCTCTCACAAACAGAAAATCCTTCGACGGCTTTTCCTCTTTTTTTAAAGGAAAACTATCAAAACCCCAAATCTCTAAACTGAGCACCAAAGTGTTGTCACCTGTAGGGTCTGACCTTCAGGTGAAACATCGTCAGAGTTCCTCCATCTGGCTCCGTGACAGGAAACCTGCTACACCTGAGAAGGCGGAGTTTTAAACTGACCTCAGGTGTGTTCTGACTGTCCTGCAGGTGAGCATCGCTCGAGGAAAAGATGGATTCGGTTTCACCATCTGCTCCGACTGCCCGGTCAGAGTGCAGGCGGTAGATCCAGGTGAGAAAGACACTTCCACGAGCGCTGCACGACACCCCGTTCACTCGCAGGTAATAAACACCTGGCTGTCCTCACTGCTCGTAGGCGGTCCGGCTCATCAATCCGGACTCCGTCAGGGAGACTCGGTCCTGCAGCTCAATGGGCTTCCTGTAGAGACCTGGAAGTGCGTCGACCTTGCCCACGCCATCAGGTAACCCCGCCCCCTGTGAGAGTGACCCCACCTATCCAGGTAAATCACTGGGCACATCTTGTGGATACTAACAGTGGCGCGTCTCCTCAGGAGCTGCCAGTCTCAGATTGTGTTGGTGGTGTGGAGAAGTTTACCTGAGGTCCGGTCAGCATGTGAGGCTATGCTCCGCCCACATACACACAGCGCGGTGAGTTTCATGCGTTTGAACTGCAGCTGTGGTCATAATCACAGCTGCAGATCATCAGAGGAGCTCTTAGTTTTACTTATACAACACCAAATCAGTAAGAGCTACG